TAAGATTTATAATATTATCTTAATCTTAATAGATAAGCTAATTAAGTATATAATATATATAGCGATTATTAAGAATCTAAAGGCTAATAGTCTTATTAATATCTTATAATAGAAATTTATATTACTACGCGATATAATACGTAACTTAATTTTAAATCGAGGCTCTCTATTTATAAGTAAGTTCTAGATAACGCTATATTAACATTTAAGTGCGAAGCGTAAACTAAGTATTATATTTTATTCTTAAATCGATAATTAGACTAAGAGATAAAATTAGATATTAAAATACTATCTATAGATATATTATAACTATAAGTAAAATAACTAATCTAAAATCTTATTAATAACTATATTTATATATAATAATAGCGTATATATAAGTATTAATAAGACTCCGTAAGATCTACTAATAAGATATATAGTAGACTTAGAAAATACTTCTAAGAATAGAATCTTAAGGGGGGAAGTATCGCTTATTATAGAGCGAGTAGAATAATTATAAGAGATAAGATCGTATCTAAAAGAATTATAAGAGCGAGCGTTAAAGTAGTAAGTAAAGTATTATAATAGTAATTATAGGGCTATAACCTTTAAAAAAAGAGATAAAGTACTATTATAAAGCTTAAATATACGTACTTTACAATTAAAGAAGAAACTTAATTATAGATAGCTTAGGCCTTTTAAAGTGCTAGAGAAAATAAATACGTAGACTTATAAGCTAGACCTCCCCGCTAGATATAAAAGAATTTATTCTATATTTCATATATCGCTATTAAAGCTGTAGTACTCGCGTAATAATAATTCGAAGTCGTAAGTAGTCTTAATTAATAAAGAAGAAGAGTAAGAGGTTAATAAGATACTAGATAAAAGAGTTTATAAGGGCGAGACTAAGTATCTTATTAACTAAAAAGACTTCTTATCTTATAAAGCTTCGTAGAAATTAATAAAGTATCTCGAAAATATTAAAGACGTAATTAAGAACTTCGAGTAAGTAAAGAAGTTATATAAATTAGTATTTAAGATAAAGCTAAAGATATAATTATTAAGAGAGATTAAGAAGTAAGAAAGATCGCGAAAGTAATAGTAGTATAAGAGCTCTAAAGGGCGAATAAGTTATAGCTAAAAGGCCTAGCGAAAATAGCTAAAATGCCCGTAGGCCGATTTTAAGGCGCTAAAACGCTATATATAGTAAGAAAAATAGCTATTAGAGCTATATATAAAACTATCATTATCTAGTATTAGTCTATCTATTATCTTATATTAGAAAGTAATTATTTATCTAGAAGATTTATTAGATGATAAAAGATCTAGTAGAGAGAGTAGTAAGAGGAGTAGTTAAAGAAGGGGCGAGGATAGCGATATTACGCCGAAGTTTCTTAGCGCGATAAGCCGCTATATATGTTAGCTACGCACTCTAGTATATATTAAATCGAATTTATATTAATTTAGCGGCGAAGGATAATATAAATATTCTCGCTAATACGGGTTATAGCGAAGATATTAATCTAATAAATAGAGATCGAGTCTATTATATATATATAACCCCCGCGAGAATATCGCCTATATTTACGCTAACGCGAGCCAGTAGAAAACGCGATATAAATCGTATAAGGATTATATGCGAAAGTATATATATAATAATAATAGAAGAGGTCTAGTATACGTTAGCGTAACCTCTTAGTTATTTAATATCTCTTTTACTTATAATTAATATTTGAATAAATAAGAGGAGTAGCGATAGAAGTAGCGATAAGAGTAGCGATAAAAGTAGCGATAAGAGAGGCTAATAGCCTTCTTAGCTAAGCACGTCTTTAAAATAAATATAAATATCTATTAGTAATAGCGCGAGGAGGAGAGATTACGACGGCTAAGAGCACTTAATAACCCGTAGGGCTATAAGAGCGAAGGTTTAGTATTACTATTAATATATTAATATACTTCTTATACTATTTACGAAGTATCGTAAAGTATTCTTTAAGATACTTATTATATATAAAGTTAATCTAAATAACTATAATCTTATTTAACTATTATCTTAATCGATATATATACTATACTATTACGATAATACGTAGCTCGCTATCGCGATATTATAATAAGAATAAATAAAGATAAGATAGTAGATATAAAGAAGAATTAGATACTTACTTATAATAGCGTCGACGTTAATATTATTACTAAGAAGAATAAAAGTTAGATTAAAAGTAAGTCTTTTATACTTACTAGCGCGACTTTTAACGATTATTATAATAGAATTACTACGATTATAAAGTAATAATATAATAATAGCGTATAATAATAGTAATAATAGTATATCGTAATAGGATAGTACTACGCCTATATTCTATTAATTAAAATAATAATATATATAGCGATACTATCGCGATTTAGTATATAAATATAATAATATATTTAAGAAGACCTTAGAGTATATAGTACGAATACGCTATTATAGTATACGTTAGTTTAGACTACGTTTAAGCTAATAATAGATAGCGTAGATAATACTAGTAAGTTCGTATATATTTAATTATAAGACGTAATAATAATAAGATTTAGAGGCTAAACTTTCTAAGAGGAAATATAATTATAAGAGTAAAAGTACTTAAAGCGAACTAATAGGCTCGCTTATATCGCTTACTAGGCTATAAGCTACGTAGCTAAGGCGAGTATTTAATATACTTAATAAAGTCTTAAATACTTACGAGTTCCCTTTCCTCTTCTTCTTTCTTTAGTTATTAGTTTATCTAGTAACTAATTCTATCTATTCTATTAACTACGTATCTAGCTTTTTTATTTTAAAATTTCTTTTTATTTTTTTTAAAAAAAACTTTTTTACCTTTTAAAAAAATTATTAAATTTAATTTTTAGAAATTTAATTATAAAAATTATAATATTTTTTTTATAATTAATTTAAAGATTTAATTTATTTTATAGTTAATTAAATTATTAAATATATAAAATTACGTTATTATTTAATAAAAGAATTATAAAGAAATCGTCTAGATAGTAAAGTATTACTTTTTATAGAAGAATCGCGATTAAGATTTAAATAAAGATCTTTATAAAGAGATTAAATAGAAATAATAATATATATAATTTAAATAGTAGATATTATTCTTTTTAATAGCGTTTATCGTAATTAAAACTAAGTAGTTATTAATTCGATATAATAATAAATATATATCTAAAAGCGTCTTTAAGATTTCTTTTAACGAATTAAACTCTTAAATCTTTCTATAATAATACTATTACTACGTTATTATATATAATATATTTTAATACGCTTTACTTTATCTAAATATTATTATTAATTAAGTAGTTATATAGAAATAAGAGATTATAAATTTATCTTTAATCTTTATTATATTTCGATATTAAATCGAGTAATAAATAGACGTAATAGAGCTTATTCTAAAGATTAATCTCGATTAGGCGATATTATTAAAACTATTTTTAAAGATTTATTAATAGTATTTAAGATACTTAATATATTAATAGATAATTTTAATTACGATAAGTTAGAATATAATCTCGAAAATTTATCTTAGCGCTTTTTCGAAGAATAGTTAAAATAATCTTAATAAATATTAGATTTAAGTAATCGTTTAATTATTTAAACTAATTATTAATTATTAATAATCTTTAATAAGATAAATTCGAGTTTAATAGATCGTATAGCGCGTATAGAAATCTCTTAGATATATATTACAGCGACTAAGGTATTTATAAATATCTTAAAAGTTATTTTATCTTAATAATATAATTACTTAGTAATAAATAATTAAAACTATTTATAGCTAGATTTAGAGTTTTAAGATATTTATTTATTAAATAATTTTATTAATAGATTATATAGATATATAAATAGATATAGCGCTCGCGAAAATAGCTACCTCTATTAAAATTCTTATAAATTTCACTTTCTTTAATAATAATAGGCTTATTAAAACTAGGCGTAGCGGTATTTAACTTATTATTATCTATATAAGTTCTTTTAAATATAAGAAGATCTCTATAGCTCTAATTATTCGCTTTTTATACTTTAGAATTATTTTAATTATTCTAAATATATATAATAATAAAGACGAGATAATAAATAAGAATAAAGTTAAATCTATAAATAATAGATAATTATAGTAAGCGAATAGTATATATATATAGAATCTTATTTAAGTCTTTCTTTACGCTAACGTATATAAAGCGATTAACGATTATCGAGTATATATAAAAGTAATATATTATATAATTATAGTTATTAATATTCTTATTCTTTTTAATTAGAGTAATATATATATAGGCTAACTTAGCGAAATTTTTAATCTTAAAAATCTTAAAGAAGATTTATTTAAAGTACTTAATATTTATACTTCGAAATCTTTTAATAATATTAAGAAAGAGCTTTTTACCTTTCATATAACGAAAGAAAACTCCTCTTCTTTCTTCTTAATTCGATTTAAAGTTAAATAAATTTAAATTCGATATATTTAAGTAATAATAATAATAATTATAACTATAACGACGATAATAGCGATATAACTTATAAATCTTATTCTTATAAGAATAGCGATTATTTCGCTTCTCTTAGATCTTAAATAGCTAGGCTATTAATTTTTAAAGATCTACTTTAATAATAAGTAAAGGCGTTTTATTTATCTAATTCGAGCTTATAATACTCGATAATATATCGTATATAAGAATATTCTCGCGAGGAGAAGGTATTTTAATCTTAATAGCCTTAAAAGTCTTTTTAATCTTAAAAGTTTTAAAAATCTTATTAATAGCGTTAAAGATCTTTTTAATAATTTTAAAATAAAGATGAGGATAATATATTTAATCGCTTTTTTAAATCTAATAATAAAAAACTGATGCAAGGCTCAGCTCCATCAAGTCTACCGATGACAGACTACTACTCTAGCTCGACTGAACCCAATTCCGCCGCTTCATTCCAACATTCCCTCCCTCCCTCCCTCCCCTCCCACCGTTCCGCTTGTCGCCCCTCAATCATCACTTATCTTCAACCCCCCCACCGCCGCTGACATCCCCCCGCCACCCTCGCTCTCACTCGTGCGTTTCTCCTCCCTCTCCGGGTCTGGGTATTTCTCGAACACGTTCCTGCAGTCCTCCACCATGGTCTTGTAGAACCCGAGCTCTTTCCGAATCGCGCCGAGGTAGCGGTCGAGGTCCTCGATTTGGATCTTCAGTCGGGTCTGTGGGGGTGGGTGTGAGTTGGATGGGTGGCGGTGGTGCGGACGCGGTGGGTTGGGGAAGGGGAGGGGGGGGGAGGGGTTGCTTACGATGGTGTGTTTCAGTTCGGATATTTCGGCGGACGTGTCTTGTCTGTGTTCCATCTTGTCGCTTGGCTTCACGTTGGGTCTGGTAGGCCGGGTTACGGGGACTGCGATGGATGACTTTCTTGAGGTTTTTTTTAAAAAAGGGTGTGCGTGTCAACGGACTTTGCTGTGCGGAGCTGAGAAACGGGGAGGCTCGAACGCTCTTTCATATTGCCTCGTCAAACGTTTGGTGGTGTTTGACCTCGCTGGCAGGGTCTCGTCAGCGAAAAGGCATGGTGACGTGGCGAGGTCGATCTGGAATGCTGAGATCGTGCGTTGGCGCAAACCTGTGGCTTTTGGCATGGAAATTATCAAGCGGATGGAACTCAAATCCAGTGGCCATCGATCCGGCGGCCGAGTTTGATGGGGGGGATCATAGGGTCTCGTTTCGTAGTCGGGATTGTTCAAGCAAACGGACGGTTCCGCCGCAAGTACCGTTGTCCTTTGCTCACCGGGTTTACGTCGTTGTTTGGAGACGGGGCTGTTTGGACATGATTGAATCGGACCGGCTTCGCGTGAACGCTCGATCTGCTGTTGCGGGTTTGCTACGACCCGGACATTGGCCTCGGGTTTGTTTTTGAGGAAATTGCGTGGCCTCGGGAAGGCGAGCTGCTTCTTTTGATGACTGCGTGGGTTTCGAGGATTTGATAGGATCATGGTATTTGGGCGTGTCTGACGAGGTTTGGAGTTGAGTGCGAAGGGCGCTGTTGGAGAAAGGGGAAAAAGCAGAGGGATTGGAATCGTCGGTGAGGTTTTGGAAGTAATTATATATTAATCCGGTCAGGGGCTTGAGTAATATGCGTTAGTACATCCGAAGATGCCAAGTGCTTGGTGAGTGGGCTGTCAAGGTAGATCGGAAGTCCATCTGGGGGATTGATCCCCAAGCTAAGCCGGGAGGGTGCTCGAGGGTGGACGATTCGTGGGGTACGAGGACTGGAAAGGAGATGAGGACTTCCAAGGAAGAGTGTAGGCTAATACATGGGACTCGGGCGGGGAGTATCGAGATATGGCGTTCATGAAGGAGGGATGTGAATTGTGCAAGCTGGGAAGAGCGGCTCCGGAAGCAGCGTTTGTGAAATCCCTGACCTCGAACGTTATCCCCGCTCAGCAGGAAAGCTTTATATACAGCAAGCTTTATCGGGCCATCAAGATGCCCTAGTAGGCTCCGTGAAAATAGGTCCGTTACTCCTCCATTACCTCCACCGTTCCGGTCGTCCCGGGCTCCTCGATCAACATTTGCCGTTGATGCAGATCCTCTCATCCGCATCCGCCCCCATTTTTGGAGGGCCATCGTCGATGCTTACTAATTCGCTCAGTTCGCTCACCTCGCTCAGTTGGCGGCTGACCAACGATCTGATGGCATCTGTTACACCGTAAGCTCATGGTTTAAAGATAAACTTGAAGAAGCCGTACCTAAATGTAAAGGGAGGGTGAAGGCTGGAGCCGCGAGGAGGAGGATAGTGTAGACGATTGTGGTGGTACGCATTTTGGTAGGCTTGGCAGAATTCTGGCTGGCGGGAATGGTAGAGGTTTGAGACGTGGCGATTTGCGTGCGCCAGGAGTGGATTGGGCGGCAATGGTAGACTGTGTTAGCATGGGCAGATGTGCGGGTATATATGTTTGAGGAGGAATTGATCTCCTACTAATAATAATAGACTTTTGATATCAGGCTTGCCGAGATTCGAAGGGAGCCGGAAATGTTCGTCAAACTCGTCCAAAATTTGGGGGTGGAGGCAGCCGTGATTGTGCACTGTTTCTCGGTCGATGTTCTTCTGCTGTACGGAGTATGGTTGGAGATGATGGGCCGCCTTGTTTCACGTATGGGGCGCGGACAAGGTGGTTGGGAAGAAATGCTCTGTTTTGTTGCGACTAGTAAATGCAGAGCGGGAATTGGTGAATTGTTGAAACGGGTTGTGCCTTGCATGAAATCTCCTAGCCTCTTTTTTGTTTTTCACAAACGCAGCATATGGTCAAAGAGTTCTTGAGCTGGTATTCGCGCACCAATTAAAAAAGCTCGATAGGTCAGATATCCCCGAATGAACGTGCCGCGGACCTCCTACGAAGCCGAGATCATGCGGGTGACCTTGAAACTCCGCACGACACCGATAGTGGACTTCACGACGTCAAGTCTCCCTCTCTACGAGCGAGAGCATGAACAATGATGTTGTCACTGAAATCATTGAACAGCGTATTCCAGAACGCATTTCCTGCTTTATCAAGCTTCCAGGCCCCAGATCGCTTTTCTGAAGACCCTGCCCACCTTGAAGGTTGCCCATAAGGTAGACATTGAGCGGAAACCCTGCATTCCGTACCAAGGTGATGGTGGAGCAACGAAGCTGGTGAGATATAAGGGCAAATTCCACGCCGCGCACCGCCGTAAGAACGGAACAAGTGAAAAGGGGGTCACTCGCGATTGATTTCCTGCACATCTCAGCCTGCAGGATATTTGCAGGATGTTTGCAGGCTGTTTGACGGCGATTTATCTGGAGGATGCTTTGGGTAAGAGAACTCACAAGACCTTGAGTGGGTAAAGTGGCGCTGAGGTAGCGTCATTCCGGCGCGTTTGCTTGGAGCGCTTGTCGCCTATAATATTTAGCGTCTAAGATAGCGCCATCTTCACGTTTCACCAAAGTACAGTAGGTACCGTTCACCAATTCCAGCCTCCTTCCAAACCTTCTACGGCGTTTCAAAATTGAGCGATCAAGTCTCCTAAAAACGGCGCGGGGGCCGAAAATGGATCCTATGGCGGGTCCAAGATGGCATCACCCGTCAACTTTCAAGCTCAGATGACGCTCAGCCTCCAATCAAATCCGCTCTGATGTTGAAACGAACCTCGACGTGAGCTACCCTAAGTCAAAATGGCTCCTTCGACTTCCAACCAACCGGAAGATTACATTTACATCCTTAGGTAACGTTGGGTAACTTGATGGTTAGTGGCACGGTGGCACCTTCGAAGTGTTAGCCAGATATGCCGGTGTGACGGGTTCTCGCATTGGTCAGGTTTCACCTTCGTTTCTTGCGTTGTATCTCGGACGATTGCGTAGCTAAATTTGGAAGAATTTGTTCGCCGTTGCACGAGCGCCGTGGAACCACAGCTTGGAGTCATGTGGGCTAGATTACGCCGAACACCTTTCTGTGGCCTTGCCTCCCTGGACCACGACTGGGGTGCTGGAAATGCCTTTAATCAGCCCTTCCCACTGGCCCTACCCGAAATTCGTCAAGTTTCTCGAGACTGCCCTTCGACAGCTTCTTCAATTGAGGTGTAGAAGCTTTCCAGTCTTTCCATAGAATAGTGAGCTGTTGTGATCATCGTGCTTGTCTTCCTCGCAAGAACACTTTGTCCATTGCCAATTTCCGATTCTCGCCATGGCGGATTCAGCTGGCAAGATGTATGCTCTCGCACTTGTGCTGAGCCTTCTCACCATCGTCGTAACCGCCCTGCGTTTTTATGCTCGACGCATGAAGCAGGCTGCGCTTTCATGGGATGATTATATGATTCTACCAGCGTTGGTATGTTGAGCCGTGCTCCAAATTCCCAGTAAGTGTTGAGATATTCGAAGCTAATACCGAGACAGCTTCTCACAATTGGCACGGCGGTTTGCATGTTGGTTGGTAAGGATCGGCGATTCCAGAGACTGTCCGCCTACTCTCTGACCCTCAAAAGGTACTTCAATCGGCAATTTAGGACAGCACACGGGAAGCGGAGAAGACGGATCAGGCAACGAAATTCCAGTTTTCGACCATCGCTTAAAAGTCTTCGAACAAGTAAGTTCTGTTCTTCCAATGCCTCCTCGCAATGCTGAAAGTGGGGACAGATCGTTTTCGCGACGCAACTTACGACAACACTGACTTTCGGGTTCACGAAATTGTCTGTATTGCTTTTCTATAAAAGGTAGAGCTACTCTCATTCTCATTGACATGTCCACACCAGCTCACAGGTGCCCTCAGGATCTTCAAAGGCACCTTCGTCAAACCATCTGTGTGGACTATGATTGGTGTCGTCGTTGTCTGGACACTTGGCTTCTTCTTCGCCAACCTGTTCCAATGCTGGCCCTTATGGATCGACTGGACCAATTTCGGCTTTACGTACCAGAATTGCATCAACACGAACGCAATGTATCTGGCTCAAGCTTGGTCAGATGTTCTCACGGATTGTAAGAAGTGTCTTGCTTCTGGCTTATCGTCATCTAACTTCAAACAGTAATCATCCTGACTCTGCCGCTTCCATGTGTAAGTTCCCCTCCTTAAATCACGTTGATATTTGCTGATGTGCTTCCAGATTTGGGTAATGCAACTGCCTGCAAGGCACAAGGCTGCTGTCAGTGGCATGTTCCTTCTCGGAGGACTGTAAGTTGCGGAACGTGTAGGCGATCTAAAAGCATGCTTATCAAGTCACAGGACCGTGGGAGCGGGTATCGCGAAGCTCGTAGTTTTCAACAAAGTTGTTCAAGGTGCGTCTCCAACTTGTCGTCATCAATGCGGTGGGTTCTAACTCACCACATGCAGAATTGGACGTGGGATTCTTGGACATCAGCTGTATGAACCTCCAAAACCATGGATTCATTTCAAGTCTAACATCAGTCTGCAGACATGAACACACCCCTGGTATACTGGCCAATGGTCGAGTCTTCCATGGGCGTTGTCGGCGCCTGCCTGCCATTATTGCGGCCCCTCTTCGTTGGTGCTTCTTCAAACGGCTTCATGCGCAGCCTAAAGAGCGTGAAGATAGCCTCGCTCAACTTGAACGAAGACGCACTGAAGCAACTCGAAGACGATTCGCCAGGAGCGCCGGGTTCAACTACGGCGTTTACAAAGTTCGGATCCGAGTCTACAGTGGTGCCATCCAATGCCGAGTACAGCTCGTAAGTCCAAATGCTTCATATGTTGATCTAGGATACAGCTGACTCCTGTCCTTGTAGCTATGAAAATATTGCGCCGAAGGCCTACCGGATAGACAGTCTTGACAGCCTGAAACTTGATGCCGAGAAGGATACACATTTAAATGGGGCTCGTCGTGGTGATGACTACGTATAAACATTGCTAATATCTTTAATGATTGAATTCTTCCTTTCATATCTATCAGTGCTATATAATGTTGATCGATCTGAGATCCTCTCTCTCTACGTCCCACCACCACCGGGTTTTAGCTTTCCGTTATCTATTGCCTCGGATTCAAAAATATCTAGATTCACACATGTTCACTGCGTTGTGCATCTCCAACACTTTACACCCATATTTTCCATTCTCTTAGCATCATTAGCCTTTTCACCATGACGAGTCTCATGTGATAGATGAAAATATGGCCCACAAGACGCACCCAAGAAGTCTTGATGCTTTTTCCGGACCTGCAGAACAAGCCACGGCATCGAGGGTATGTCCGCAACAACGGCTCTCTAGAAGCCATCCAAGATCGTGAAAGTCGCTGCCTTGCCTTACATCTTGATCAGAAGCTGACTATGCCAAATATTGGTTCGAGAAATTTCAACGGGCAATGTGTAGAAACCCTTCACGAGATTCATGGATGACTGTCTCTCGCACAGCGTCTACGTCTACGGCAATAACAAGCCGCTAGTATACTGAGTTTGGGCAAGGTGAGTACCTCAGCACAACCGACTCGAAAGCCCTGGATCTCTTTGCAGGTAGAAAGGTTCGAGGCCGATGCACCTGTCAAGCCAACACGTGCACCTCGCATCGCACCCTCCAACCTCAAGCGGGAAGGAAAGAAGACAGCCGATCTGAGGACCTTGCCGACCCTCGGCACAGCACTTGAACATACAGTCCCAACACAGCGCTTCACGCAGACAGGCCCGGGTGTCTCGACGCTTGGGATCTCGAGCGCTACGGCATGAACCGCGCAGGTTGGAGCACGTTGCAGTTTGTTTAAGGTGACGTCGATGCTCCCATTTGCGTGCCCGGTATCCTTCCCGAACCTCGTCATATCGGCATGGGAGCGTTGTTGGGGCAAGTTGAAGTGAAGCTGGCCACGGGGAAAAGAGTAAGTGAGCTGTTAAGGATGTGATCTGGAGCTTAAGGTCGATGAGTTAGGCATAGCTTCCAAACCAACATCGTAGCACGTCTGAAGACTCCTATCGACCAGATAAATTGTGAGATAACGATGGCGAGACACTCGTGGTAGCCCGTCATTGTCGCCCGTTGCGTCCAGATGAGGTTGAGGACCAGGCAGGCGCGGAGCATCCTCTTGCGGGTTGTGTTGTCGGACAGTTGAGTTAGGGAGGCGTGTTTTAGGGGACCGATGTTGGAGAATCGTAAGGGTAAAGGAGGGGGTGGAGACTTTCTTGGTAGAGGCGTTTGAGGACGCGGATTGTGAGCAGTGAGAACGTGCGTTGAAGAAAGGAAACTGCTGTTTTTTGATACCAGCGCGGTTGGCCCCCTTTCAGTGCGTGTCAAGAGAGGCCGCCGCTCGCGTCTTGCATCGTTTTAGCTTCCTTTCCGCTTTGCGGGAGTTACGGGGCTTGCCAGACGACGCCTCCCAGTGCCTCGGACTCTCTGTTCCGTCCCGGCCCAGCGGAGGTTGAATGGTGTTTTGTAAACCCTTTCCAGTCGCTGGTGGTAGTCTGTATCCTTCAGCATAGAGTGCACAAGACATGTGGCAGAGCCAGATGAGGACAAACGAGCTGAGGATGCCTCCGTGCTCCGGAGACGACGTTGTATCCGTTACGCGTCGCAAGGCGAGAAGCGAAAATTATGTTTGCAGTATGAGGAGAGGCAGGTGGTACGCTTGAGAGGTTCGCAGAGACGCCAGCGCCGTGATGGTGGCGACACAGAAACCGGCTATTGGAATCATGGCAGCTATGACGGTCTCGAGGGGCATTGTCGGTCGCGCAGAGTCTGACTTCTCCGCTGGAACCCCGTTCATTTGGATCGTTTTCACACCATTATTCTGTTGATAAGGTTTTGCATATATCCTCCAGTGTTTGTTCTTCAAAGATTGCACTATCCGGTGGAACACAGCGCCGTCCCATATTAGTGACCTAATTTGGGATCTTTAGTCTGCGCTCGCTGAAGCGGATTCCAGAGAATCCTGGAGGATTGCGACGAAGTCTCGCGACACTATTTCAACCGTTTGGGTTGGCTTCCGCGTTTCGAAACTCGGGCTTTGAATGTTCAAAGTCCCCATCCAGTAGAGAATATCCGGCAGCATTTTGAGAATCCTGGCAAGGTCTTGTACGGTCGATGTTGAATGTACTATGCACCAATAAGAGGATGATGGCTACTGGAAACCACTAGGATGAACTCGCAGCTTAATGATGGTCTGATGAAAGTTGAGATAATCTTTGAAGAAGATGGTAGAAGATGGTGGTAGGAAGAGGCGGGACGACTGTAATAAACGAATGAGACATTGCGAAGGTTCGACCGTTGTAGGATTTTTGGGGGTTAGCGATATAAAGCCCGCCAGACCCTTCTAATGCCATCTTCTCTTTGATAAACGTGACCATGGTATAGTTTAAGCATTCCAATTTTCTGTCACCTATCTCACCAACATCATGCTCCTACAGAGTAACCTACCCGAAACCTTCCTCCGCATCTTCTATTCTGGATCGTAATAGTCGTCTGAGGTCCTCCTCATCATCACGCGAGGTCCGCCATGATGAAAGCCTACGCCATGGGCCTCGTCCCCCTCGTTTCCTTCCTAGCCCTCATCCAGCCATGTCCATCTTTCGTTCAGTGCCGACATCGTGGCCAAAGTCGTCGATAAGTCGGTCTACGTGAGGCCAAAGCAAACGTTAGCGAACTCACCAAGTGCAGTCGTGAATAATGGGAGGGTCATGGACGTTGAAGCGGCAATGGATATCGGTATGAGACAAAGAACCAGACGAGGTTGCTGCGAGTGGAAATGGCGGTTCTTTTGCCAACACTTGCGGGGCCGATTAGTGATAGATTGCGGCAACAGATCGAGTTCGTGGCGAACAACTATGGTCTCATCTCGGGGCTGCCGCAGTCTTGCATGACGGAGGTCGAGACGCGGAATCAGCATACGTTTATTGAGCAGCTCAGCCAGTTTTATGGGTCGGTCGCTGTGATTAATGGCAGCACGACTGCGATGAAGGATGTTCCGTATTACACGGAAATCGCTCTAAAGGAGGCTGCTGCGAAGAGAGCAGGTCTTTGACGTTGTTCGAAATTGAGACTTAACATGTCGGCTGCTATTCATCCTTGTCCCGTAATCTGAGGCTACAAGTTGGGATGATCGCTATTTTGCAGACGTTCTTGTCATCCATCTATATAGAAACAACTTTCTCCATCCATTCTCGAGACCAACATTAGCAAACCGAGTCAATAACAGAACCATGGCCGTAAGCGGTAGTGCTACAGCGAAGTACACCCTGAACGTTTCCACTAACGTCAAAAGGTCACTGTTCATACTGAACAGACCTGTGATGAATGACAGAGGCGCAAAAGTAATCGCGAGCCAAGTCAGGCGAGCAAGACTGCGGTTCTGTTCGAAAGCTTTCTTGCTTTCCTCGATTGACATCACTGCCGTGACGACCGACATGATCCTGTCAGCGCGGACCTGTAGATTTTCAATGTTGGACAGAAGGATCTCGAAATCACTTCGGAGATCATGCACATGGTTTTCCGGGCTGGACGCGAAGTGCTCACGCTTGACGACCTTCTCCAGCACTTCCAACACAAGGGTACGGAAGATGGGGAATCTTCGTCTCCAACTGTGCAGTTTCCCAATGGTGACTTGTAAGCCACCGTTATCCCCTTGCAGATCCGGATTCTCGATCTCCCATTCTAGTTGGGTGAGGCGAGTTGTGGCGTACTTTACTAGTGTAGACCATTCCGCGCCGACGATCATGAGTGTCTTCTTGAAAAGCAGACGCGGATCTCTCGGTATACTCGTGATTTCTTCAGGCGTCAAGGCGCTGGTGTAGTGGATGACATCTTCGAACGTGGATATTCTTGATGGTCCTCTTGGTACGGGAAGCACAGTCATGGACGGGCAGTCGACGAGATTACGGTAGCCGCCCCAAATTGGGAACCCCTCAGATACTGTGGGGTCCACCAGTAGGATGCCTAGTCAAGAGTTCTTGTCAGCTTCCGAGATAACGAAAGGACTCGCGATGAGGGAATGGTTGGAAATGAGACCTACCAAGCACACCCTTCTCTCCAGGCTTGTTTGGTCTGATCCAAAGAGACGTCCTACTTCGAACCAAGCCAACATCAGATTTGGGAATATCAACATCAGGCACCCAATTGCCATCTTTGTCCACTCTTCGCAGTACGTTGAAGCCTCCTGCTTCCCACCTGGCCCTCATTAGGCTATCTTCGCTCCGGAAGTACCTTGTTTGCACATATCGGATGTGAAGATAGGAACGCTTGCGCGATATGATGTCCAGGTCCGGAAGCTCGACCCAAGGATCTCGGGTGTTGTGCCACATGTAGTCGGATATATGGCCTCGGAAGAAGAGGGGGTCGACATCGAATCGGGCACCTAAAGCCTCGATGACGTCTCGGGAGAGGTCTTCGACTACGAAGAGCCTGGCGTGGACATCATCATGTTTATGTTGGCTTTTATTGAGAGCATAATATAGGTCGATGATGTTTGAAAAGTCATCTCGGTGCACTGCAGCATTAGGCTCGAAGGTCAGCATAGCAACCTTGGTTCTGCTCGCCCTCTCTCTTCTGTCTTGATCGTTGAGAAACTTCTGTTTGGGTGGAGCCGCGGTCACTTTCATGAAGTCGGCGAGATAAGAGATATGTGGCCATCCTTGAGCGAGGGATTCAAGGTATCGCATGTAAGGTCCCGAAGCTCTGTTTCACATCAGCCTGACCTCGATACACTTACAACAGACTCTGAGACTGACGTAGCGGGATGCTTAAAGGGAAGAAGACGTTTCTCTATCAGTTCTCCAGACTGCCCTATGCGGCTCGGTTCATAAACATCGCCAATATAGTAAGAGTCCCCAGCCTCAAGTGTATGCGGCAGTATATGAGAAGGCGGAGATAAATATGGCGTCCATGGGCTATGGAAGGCGGGGTTCCAGCCATCAGGCTTAGAAGTCATTGATGTAGAACTGATTGAGAAGACACTGAGTGGTGGTTACACTGCGCTCAGGTGATGACTTATCCAAACCGGAGACTTGGCATCGTAGTGATTTGATGAGCGGAAAGTTGCGTGGTTGAGGATGAGGGATCAAGTCAACATTGCTTCACGATGAGAGTACAACGAGATATAAATGTGGAAAGAGCTGAGGTTGCCCTTGATCTTGATGAGGCTGTGAGGCGGCGAGGCTGTCATAAGGTAATTTCGAGGCTGAAATTTTAGTAAGGCTACACCGCTAACCCGATGGAGAACACACAGCCACAGTGACGCACAGAAGAAGTCCTCAGTAGTCTGTACAATATCTTATGAGTGTATCAACATCGGGTGAAAAACTTCTGAACTTCCGCTACTTGTAAGTGGTCATTGTGCATGTCACTCTACATAAACTCAGAGCAACAAGCGTTACCTAGCCCACGATCAATTCCCTTCTTTCTGTCTCGTCAACACTTTGCAGACGAAAGAGTCAACGACTTGTGACTTCGACCCTGCTGTGCATGGATTTTTTCGACTGTGACCCAAAGCAAGCGAAAAAACCCTGTTGCGAAAGAACTTAGGCCATGAGTTTTACTGAATCCTCTCCTTGCTTTGTTCCTCCTGTGGACAAACAGACTCTCAATATCTCGACCCTTCCAGAAATTACTTAAAACATTGCTGGTATCACTGCCTGAAGATTGCTACAGCAATCTTTGTTCAGCGCATTGCGAATAGATTTCTGTTTGTCTTTGTGCTGGTGTTCGTTGATTTCATAAGTAAGCCCAGCGGCCCAGATCCCAAATCCTCAAAGTTGTATCATCAATACGTAAGGAGGAAAATATTGTGCACAATGGCAGACCAGGATCCAAAAATCACTCTCCTCCGAAGCAAGCTAGCCCTCTTGATGGGCCGGGAGGAATGTCCAGTGTACGACTCGATCAAGGCGCAGCATCCACATGCGCTAGAAGAGCCATGGTCAGAAGATATGAGCGGACCTCACAAGCGTGTTGGTAGGTGAATCGCGGCCATGGGCCGGAATGCTGTCCTTAGAACTAGCAACTCGCTTACCTATGAAGCAATAGTGTTCAACAACAAAACCTTCGCAATGCACCAAGTCCTCACCCAGGAGGAAGCCTACAAGTGCACTTTCCAACCCCACGCAATTAACTGTGGCGAAAACATTAAGCTGCATCGTCAGTAAACCGTCTGAGTGCCAATCTAGAGCATCTGCTTACGCGGTAATAGTCGACGACAACCTTTTCCGCGATCTGGAGCAGGCCGAGACCATGGACCTGAGCACCTTGAAACGATCCGAGGCGATCACGAGGAGGGCCGTCAAGAGCAAGTGGTTCTATGCGTTGACGGGTTGGGTGAATGAGATCAACGGTGGGCCAGGGAAGATGGGTCCCTCACCGAGTGAAAAGATCATGATAGAGGGAAAGGAGGATGCGAGCATGAGTAGTAGGAAGCCAGCATAGCCTAAGCGCAAACGGACAGTAAGGCAGCTCGTTAGGCAAAGCTTCTTTTGTGAATGGGACACCGGCAATCGGTGGTGAAGGTAGTGCAGGACAGAATTCAGAATTGAGCTCCCCATACTGAAGTACAAATCTTTGTTCCACAACTTCATTTGAGATTGTAAGGACGCAAAGCTTGTTTGCTTTAGGTTGGTGATTGCTCCAAGGCTGTACGAGATAATTGGGCTCTTGTCATTTTTTCAATGGTGTGACGGCCGGTTACAATATTTCCGAGCATGGTGGGGCATCGAGTGGACCACCAGGCAAAGCTATTTGTATATCAGCAAGCTAGATGCCCAACACCTGAATCAAGCTTAAATGCGACCTCAGTGAGCTTCATCAATCAACCTGTATCTCCAGAAGGCTTTGGTTATATTTGGCCCGTGAGTAGAGCAAGTTTTTCGACAGTGAAACCCATTAGTCTTGCATCCTTATTGACATTCAACACCAGAAAATAGAGCTGCTACCCCTAATTTACGAAGAAATCGTAATTTACAAAGATGTGTTTGCAGCCAGAGAAGCACATTGGGGAAGAGCTCTGTTGAAGACTCTCAACGGTGCCTCGACTAGCGACGCCGCCTGCTATGAGGCTTGCACCACTGGAAAAGCGCTTCCCTGGCACCTGTCCCCACTGGCTTCGCTCCAGACACTCGCATATGTTTTCTGGATCATGGAGCATCCTAATCTTAAGCAACAACGGCGATGCAGACCCAATAGCCTACCAGCGCACCTTCGATCTTACGGTTGGACCATAATAAACGGTATGGCTTTCTGAGCCCCAAATTTTCCTACTTGAACCTCTTTGTGAACTCCCGAGGCAAGTTTGGGAATTCCTGAACTCTAGAACCATCGTGACTCCCGTGCCCGTCTCAACGGACTATTTGCTGACTAGAGTATTCATCAGTCCACATACACGCCAACGGTCACCCTTTCAGTGACTAGTACGCCAGTCGTCAACGTAAGTTCCATTAGCACCTTTTTTTTTACGTCAGTACGTATTCGCTCGGCTTTTGTAATCCCGTTAACCAAAGCTTCAAGCTTGAGACCAGTCTTGGGGTAGCGCGATCTCCAGACACTTTGCAAAGCCGAAGGCTCCACCTTAAATAGAAAATACCGACGGCTTCCCGATCCAGACTCAGAGTGCAAGTACTGCAACAAGCCCTTCGAAGGTATTCAAGCCGACCACAACCATTACGCCACATGCATCGACAACAACCACAACCAAAATCCTACTAGCGCTCACCATACCTAAATTCACGCAGGCCATCAAGAACGTCATACGGACTGAGACCGCCAATTGTGTCCACTTCACTAAGCAGAGCTCTTGCGACCCAACTGCGAAAGCAACACCAACGTCAAAAAGCCAGCAGTGCCAAGTTCAGACGTGCAGTGGACGGAAGTCTCTCCGCAGCGCGCGCCAAGTGGCTTGCGGAGGGGGTCGCTCCACGATACATGATTGCAAAACGTGCTCCTGGTGAATTGTATCGTCTGCTGAGCCTGCCATACAATGGCTGACCGTCCATTTCCTAGACTCCGCACCATTATCGTCACTGACACGAACACTGCTGACTATGTCACCTCAACCTCCACCACAACCGCCCCAGCAGCGACCGTCCAAGTCGTTTCCATCTTAACAGTCTTTTCGACTATCACTCCCGCCCTGTTACAGTCTACAGCGGCATCAGTACTGCGAAGCAGACGACAGTCACTTTGCAAGCGAGCACGAGGATGCAGATCGCATATACGATTGGTGAAGGCTTCGTCACTAAGACTGTGCTGGAGACGGTTACGGTGGATGTTAAGACGACACCAGGGACTGCGTTGGCGGCTTGCACCAAGGTTGGTGGGACGATGCATTGATGCGTTGGATGGAAATATTCGTGGGTATCTAGGAGAACGAGCCACGGCGGTTAAATAATGACCCGATCTGCTTGCCCACAACCTGATTCCACATTCCCAAAAACCGTCCCCTATTCTACCAACTGCCGATTCAGTTCAATGCGACCGAAACAGTCTGTTCAGATTTTATAGAAGTAATACCAACATTTAGGCAAAATGTCAGGGACGGCTTTGCCCTCGGCCCTCAAGGCCCAGCCTCCCTGTCATCCCGGACACAGTTCTCGGCTCGTGGAGAGCCGAGAGCCGGGTTAATATTACGGGGATCGTCTATGGCGGAAGGCCAGTTAGTACAGAACCAAGTTGCGGAATTGGACCGCAAACAGACCGTCAAGTGTGTATGAGATATGCGTACAACTAAGGCATGCATGCGTCCCCTAGCGTCTCCTGTCAAGAGAACATGTTCCAGTTCCTCCGTTCGTCTCACTTGTATTAGAAAACTTGGACTGCGCCTTTGCACAGGCCGCTGCCGAAGATGCGGTCCTCCGGGCGCTGCGCTGAAGGTTGGATTGGCTTCTGGGTTTTGATTCCGATGTTCAAGAACAGAAGGTTTTTGCGTCCGCCATTGATTATTCATTTGCGCTCGAGACTAGGTACCGTTTTCAGGAATCTTGAGAGCGAAGCTGAGCGTGCTTGTTGTCATGCAGGCGAGGAGTCTGTTGGGGTTGGCAGTGGGGGCGAGTGAGTTGTGGGGGAAGGGGTGGAAGATAGGCTTTCGATGGGCGGGGTATGACGTTTTTTGGAGCGGAATGTTTGATATTCTGCTTGAAAATGGCTTTGAATCTTCCGTAATTTGATTTCCACACCAGAAACGAATGACCATCAGAAACAAACGATAATATTGTGAAGATCTGGTTGCCTAGTACCTGTCTCTGTTGTTGTTAAGTATGCGTGCTATCTACTGAGCAAGGGTTTGAGTTTCTCCTAGCTTCATCTCATACCTTCAAGCGTCCATCGAAAAGTTGATGTAAGAACCCAGATAGAAAATCTGAACTGCACCACGATAATTTGGCTGAATCAACTCGCAGCCCTAGTCCCCACCCTGGATCCCTTTGCCAACCCGCTCCGACGTGAATAACTAGCACCAAGGCGAAGGCAGAGTTTCTTCAACGTTGTCTATTATCCGGCCGGTGATGCATGTGAGCCAAAGCTAAGGCCTAAGTACTAGCCGCTATCGGTAGAGCCACTCGTATGCGCTTTGTATAACGCCAATTCTAACGTCGCCCATGCCTGCCTCTGCGAGTCCTCGAGAGAGGGCTTGGAGAGATATGGGACGGTCCATGACCTGACTTGCCATGTACAAGCTGCCTGCCGCAACAGCGACCACAGAGTGACCACCTAATGATCCGAAATGGTGAACCCTGTCGGCGATGGACACGACCAGAGTAATGACCACAGTGGGGAGAGAGAGGCGGTGTCCTAGCACGGCGATCCGTTCAGACAGCGAGATGGCTATCTGCATGTGAGTCGCCTCGGGTTGGAAAAATTCAAGCCGGCACACGGGGCAGGTGTTGTTGCTGCGTTGATCACCTGTCGGGGTCAGCCAGGTCGATATGCATTCGGAACCAACGATGTGGTTGCAGGGGAGACGGACTGCACGCTGGATAATGCCGTTGGGGGAAGGGGTGGTGCCATACTCTTCCAAGCAGATGGAGCAGTGCTGGTCTTCTTTACTTAGGATTCCGCGGCCAACTTTGGGTAGGCGGGCAAGGAATTTGGAGGCCATGGTAGGGTGGGTGAGGAGCGTGTGGGATGGAAGTTCGAAGTCGTTGATTGGTAAAGGAAGTAAACTTGTGAGATGGTAGGGATGTATACGTATGAAAATCAAGAAGGATGGGACAGATGAGAACTGAGAGGAGTGGAGTAACGGGTGTTGAGCTCGGAAACTGGTGTTGTGAAATGAAATTATCTAATATTAGTGTATACTACCGTTCTTGTTGGAACCTAGGAGATAGTGTTATACCAGGTCGAACTGACGGGGAAAGTTGCCGAGGATAGTTGCACAAAGACGTTGCTACATTTCGAGCTTCGTGGAGTCAAGACGTATGAAAGGCACGGATACCGCTGGATTGGGGAGTGCAGGGGAGCGTTTAGGCTAGTCAATACCACAATGTTGGTTAACGGGCTGGGTTGGTTGATGCCACAGAGCTGGCCTCGAGTTCTACTGTTCCGGGATTTGGTGGCATTGCGGATACGAGTTATGAAGCGGCTGCGGCCAGAACTGGTGCTGTATATATGTAGTACTTCTCGCCGTCGGCGGTAGGAAGCTGAGGTATGTAGCCTGAAGTGCGGAGTAGATGGTTCCTTGTGAGCATTTCACTGCCGACCGCATTTTTGGTTCTCGGAGCGCACCCCATTGCAAAAGTACACCCCATTAGTCCTAAGGCGACATATTCATGAGACCCCCGCAGTATCTCTAGTAGCCCTTTGCAAATAGGTTGGATTCATGGAATCAGCAGACTGGCATTTGTATGGCTTTCAGTTGGCTGAGTTACGGAGGCACAAAACGCAAATTCGATTTCGGCAGGTCATGAGCCGATCAACGAGATATCCAAAAAATATATTATTATTGTAGGGGTTGCTGGCGGCATGGAAATGTCTTGCCAAGCCTTTGTTGTAGAGCTAAATCTGATCAAGTAACAAGCCCGTCTCTAGCTCTAGGGCTTGATTACTCATAGCCCTGAACTAACAAAGGATCTCCGTAAGGGCTTCGCTCTTCTGTTGTTTTGAAGGGTTTGATGATCTCTTCTCCTCAAGTAATGCTCAACATGGCGACGACTGATTCATCGTGCCACCATCAGTCACGCGCCCAATATTATACAAGTACCATACCGACCTTCGCTCTCCTTCGCAACAAGAGAAGCTCGCCGCGCAGGCAGTATCCGCTCCCACACCTCTCGCGTCGTCCTTGATTCTGAACTTATCCGCCCACCCGCTAGCCGTGGAGAAAACAGTCTTAGTCCTTGACACGACCAGGAGGCAGTGCCTTCACATCCCGCTCCCACTTCATGATTCGAGCAGTGGCTCGCGAGACTGAAATGCTTTTGGTGGAGGAGCTTATGAATGCCGAGGAGTTGGATAAAGAGCTGGCGGACTGGGAGTAGATGCCTTGAGAAAAGACACAGCGCACTTGTAGGAGGGTCGAAGCCTGGAGAAGAGAGATTGCAAGCTTGGTGTTCGTTGGAACGCAGGAAAAGAGATGGTGCGAGTCTGGTCAAGACCATCATACCTGGAGAGGTTACACTACGAGCTTGGCGCAAGACAGAGGCGTGGAGAAGTGATACTACAAGTTGAGAGATGGTACGATGTTAGGGAAGAGGTTCCTCAAGCCTGGAAAAAGGCGAAGGCGGTGTTTATGAGCTTCGTACCCGGAGAATGGGAATCTTGGGAAACTCAGGAAAACAAGGGCCGATATGGGCTGTCGGTGGGCTCAGCTTCATAGACTAAGGCTGGTCTCCGATTGGAAATGTAACGATCTGAAGACCTGCGTGACGCGACAGTCAGATCAGCAATTCTTCGGAAGCAGAGAGTAATGGTGTGCTCGCAGAATTGTTATTCTTACAGAGCTGGATTCGAAGTGCCGGCGAAAAGGATCAACAGATGCACTGGTTATCAGCTCCAAGTATCGATCCATCCATGACTGAATACCTGATGCATCGTAGGCCCTCAAGATATTCAGATCCGGGACCGTTTACTCTTTACTCTCAATAAACGAGACTTGGCATGCAGGTGTCCTCCCCCTCTCGTTCTTCCGGCAGAAATTTGAAACATCGGTGCATGGTTAAAAGCAAGTTGCAGCTCTTTTACATCGCTAGCAATCTTCCATCTCTTGACATCACAACATAAAAAATTTCCAGCGCCTTCGACACTTTTCGCTTGTGCACATCTCCTTCAAGCTAGGCAACAGTGTGTCAAGGGCTCAAGTAACACTCAAGATCCCACGTAGAAGTCAGAGAAGTTTAAAAAAGCGGTCAGATTGACAGACAGGCATTAACAGATTGTCAACACAATTGAACCCAGCTTAAAAATCACACCTCGCAGCGTCACCAGTCAGCATCTAAGTTCCATCAATTCAAACGCTGAATCCATCTACGGCAGCAGCATATTTTCAAACCTCATCACCTGTAATCTGAATCCATTCTTGTCAGTCCACCTCACGCGCAGCTCGTCATGGCCATCCGCGAGACTGGCACCGTCAAGGTGAGCTTATCTTCCTCCGTGCATCATTCTTAAAGCAAATTTAACAGGACACCAGACATGGAATGAGAAGGGATTTGGATTCATCGAGCGCGATGGCATGGGCGACAGGTAAACTTCCCATCGAGCCGCCCTCCCTTCCTTCTAGGTGCCCTAGCTGGACACCAGATACTTACACATCGCTCTAGCATCTTCGTCCACGCGCGTGACACCGCCGATCGACAAGCACTGATCCCTAGCTCCAAGGTCTCTTTCATTTACGAGGCTGACGAGAAAGGCGGCAAGGCGAAAGAGGTATCTATCGAGGAGATGGCAGAGGCTGTTGTATCGGACGAAGGGCCAAGAGAGACGGGCACAATCAAGGTACGCCTCATAGCCTCATCGCATCTTAGTCTGCGCTTGACACAAACTCGGGGCATTCTATGGAATGATGATGCCGTTGAGAGGCGAAGGCTGACGAGTTTGGATGCAACAGCGCTGGAATGCAGACAAAGGCTTCGGATTCATTGGACGCGCGAATCGAGAGGCGGAGTAAGCCTACCTGTGCCGTATTGTTTTTATCTTTTCTTGCTTTCCTCTTAGCCCTAATCGACACGAGGCTGACTGTCATCCGCAGTGCTTTCTTTCACAAGAGATCATTTAGTGGACACGACGACCCCTACGTTGGGCAAGCGGTCTCGTTCGTCTATGGAGAAGGACTCAAGGGTGCAGTCGCTACTAAAGTCAAAGTCGAAGAGGGTGGGTCGGCTATTCAGGAAGCTCCTGTTGAAGATGAGGGAGATCGAGAGATGGGTACGGTGAAGGTATGCGTCACACCAACATAACTTGTGCTCGAAACTGCTAGTTGGCTATGCTATTCATAAGGAAAATTTTTCGTTGACAAGGGACTGTGACATAGCGCTGGAATGCTGAGAAGGGTTTCGGCTTCATTGGACGCGTGAGCGGAGAAGAGGAGTAAGCCCACTTGTTCCCTTCCCCCACCCCCAGCTTTTATCACCGAGATACAAATCTGACTGCCTACCGCAGCGCCTTTTTTCACAAAAAATCCTTTGCCGGCAGCGACGAGCCATATGTCGGCCAAGCTGTCTCGTTCGTTTTCGAGGAAGGACCCAAGGGTGCAGCGGCAGTGAAAGTGAAGGAAGAAGAAGGCGGTGTCGCTAAGGAAGAAGAGGAAGAGGGGGGCCGAGAGATGGGCAAGGTCAAGGTATGCAAGTGGCATTCACCAACACACGCCTCGTTTTGCAAAATCGTCATACTGAACCATGGCCGACCACTCCTCAGACGTACAATGAGGAGAAAGGCTTCTCCTTTATTGCCAGATGCTTTGACGGCACCGAGATCTTCGGCCACAAGCGCGAATTCCTTCAGGACATCGAGCCCTACATTGGACAACCTGTCTCCTTCGTCTACGAGGTTACTGAAAAGGGCGGTACTGCCAAGAAGGTACTGAGTCATATGCAGCAGGCTTGAGTCGGGCTGATAATGTGACCAGATTCGTGAGGAGGATGGCGTTCCAGATATTCCATTTTCAGATGAAGGCCGCGACTTCGGAACCATCAAGGTTAGCTAGCAACTTTTTCACATACTCGGCCAAGTTTTGATCCTCATTATACTACAGAATTTCAACGCCGAAAAAGGCTTCGGCTTCATCGTTGCACGCAAAGGCGGCGAAGAGTACGCACCCCTCCAACCGTGACAACAGCCGTCGAAAAAAGTGCTAACAATGGAGAATAAAGGGTGCGGTTCTTTGATAAAGCCCTCAACGACGTAGTGCCTGAGAAGAATACCTGCGTCTCCTTTGTTCGGGAGGAAGGCGACAAGGGACCTCTCGCCAAAGATCTACGCAAGGAGGACCCAGACCGCGTGGCTCGTGTGACGGCAAGAGTGCACTACGGCAAAGTAGTGGTAGGATCAACCAGATTGCCGCTCTTGTTGGATTAGATTTGCCGCTGACTCCTGTCAGATCTACAAAGATCCCCCATCCAGCAAGCCCGACTCTGGCTACGGCTTCATCGTTGAGCTCGATCAGCTGACCGTCAAGAAGCCGAAGAAGTACGCTGTGGCTGCATTCTCAATCATATCGGCTTGCCACGTTGCTGATTACAACACAGGCATTACTTCCACATGTGGGAGATCGAGACTCCAGATGACGCAGGGGGCATAGGTCAGTCGCCTTTCCATCTCTCACTCCTTCACCACCATGATCCATTCTCCAAAAGATAGTCATGTGCTCCACCTCAGAATGATCTTCCCCATCTCAGAGAAAGGGGCTGACTGGTCACAGACCCAGAGACCATGGTCTCCTTCATCATCATCCCCGCGAAGAAAGGCTTCCAAGCTGCCGCTGTTACTATCGCTGATCCTCCCAAGGAAGAGGAGACAACCCAGGAGAATGAAGCACCATGGGGAACAGCGGCGGAGGATAACGAAACGCCATTGGAGACAGCGATGGAAGAGATGCATGTCAGTGAAGCCAATGAGACCACCGCTGATGCTACGAGGGGCGACTGGGGGAGTGGAGGCTGGTAATTCCGAGAGCTTCCGTGAGCCGCTACGGCCAACTTCATGGAAGGGCATGCTGAGGTGGAATCATGTCTGGTAGCTTATTCAGTGACAAAACTATTCGGCCATTGCATGACCCCGGCTACTCAGTACTTTATTCGGTCCTCTACCTTTAGCTACATTATCCCTCTACGTTACGTTCTCTATCTTGCGTTTGTCTTTTCCGCGCTAGGTACTTTGCACGTCAATCGATGATTGCGAGCTGTTTTCAGTATATTATCCTGTTAGAAATAGGGACCGATGAGCAGCCAGCTGAGCTCTTTCACTGTCGAAGGGTCGTCTCAAATCCTAGCCTCGCCCTCATCTGGAACAATTTCCGAGGTACGGCCAGAAGACCGCAGAGACGGTTTTCCGATTTTCGAATAGCTGGTCGTGAATAATATCAATTTAACTACCGGAGCACTAAAGTGAAGCACTTTCTTCGAAGTCGCATTTTCGTACACTTCTTGCTGAGTGCCGAAGACTTCAAGGCTTTCTCGCAAAGCTTTAGTAGGCATCATGAACCCATAGATCAGCTGTTCCCTCAGCTCTGATAAGTACTCTCGGCTTTCGCCTAGCGACGTTAAATTGCGTCGAAGAATCACAACCTAAACGATAAAAGCAGTCGAATCCGTTTCTTGCAGGATTCTCGTAAGGCGCAGCAACATTGACCCACTCTCAAGAAATTTCTTCACAGACTTAGCTAATATAAGTAATCGGATCCGTCTTCTGCAGAATCATTTTCTAACATTAGCAACCTCGACCTGCATTGAAGAAAACCCCTCACACCCTGAACTGCTAAGGCAGTCTGGTTCGTTCCCTGCAGGATTCACCATTCATCAAAGATGCCTCTCAGCTTGGCACATCTTTGGGGATTCACATCCCTGAGAACTTCCCCGCCGAGCATATTAAAGTAAGTGTGAAAGGAGTGTACGCGCATGAGATACGTTTCCATTAGTTGAAGTTTCCTGCGTTTCTAACACGTTGATAGTATATGACACAGGTATGCTGTGCCAGTCATGCTCTTAGCGAAGAGTTGATCAATTTTTTATCAAAGCAATCGCCACCGGATCGTCGAGATGGGGAGAAGCAAAACTCTGCCAAGCCAGAATTGCACAAAAGAATGTAATATATAGATGGCTCTGCACACGCCTATCAAGCTCACTCTGTCCTGTTTCCCAGTCCGTAAACCTCTGTTCCGTCTATCTCGTCAGGCTTCCAGCCTTCAAGTTGAGGGACAAGATGCGGTTGGCCGTCCAATCCATCCTGGTTCCAGCAATCGAGCGGATGCGGTGGCTGATGCTCAGCTCCGGCAAAAATTGCAGTCTTGGCCTTCATCAATTCCGAGTACTTCCACTCCCATGTCTGAATATCTTTGCTCAAAATCTGCTTGTGCTTTCTCAGTCTCCATAATAACCCCAACGTGACAAGCAGTCCTAGCCCTAGTGTTACGCCCATCCCGGCACCTATTGCCGCTTCCCTGCTCGACGACGACGATGATGGTGATGTTGATGACGTATTGTGGAAAGAGGAAGAGTTTGGTGGTAACGTCAATGCCGTTACCGTTGCCATAGGCGTTGCCGTTGCCGTTGCCGTGGCGGTAACAGTAACGGTGGCGGCGTCCGTGGTATTGAGAGATGTAGAACCAGATGTGCGGTTGAGTATCACCAGTCCAGCTTCGATCTCAAAAGGTGCGGTGCTTCCTTTAGTGGTGGTATTGCATGTGTTGTTGGATAAGATGACCTGGCTACAGCAGAATTTGAATTTATCCTGCAGGTAACCAGCAAGAAATATCAATGCCCCGCCGCTCGGGTTTTCTGCAATACCAATATCAGCGTCATGACCAAGTCATAATGAGGATTGCTATGCAACGAATTTCGACGTTGCTGCAAGAGAACCTTACCATCTGAGCAGTACTGCGGACACTCCGGACTCTGCCATGTCTGATCAGTGCAGCTGCCTCTAGTAACCAATTCGGCCCCACTTTGAGCGAGACAGAGACTGTTGTTCAGACATATATCAGTAGAACCGCAGCATGCGCTTGCCCCGTCGCCGATGGAAGGAGAGTGGCATGGAGTGTCGTGGGTGGATACCGAGCCGTCGGGATAGAAGCACGTTTGCGCATCAGCCATCGCGTTTCGCAAGCAATGGATAGAGGAATAGATGAAAAGCACACTTGTTGCAGGTTTGAATCTTGGGGGAAAAAAGGGCATGTTGAATGATTGTTTTATCCTTGATGCTTTTACGGCGAGAAAGGCATTCATTGAATAAAACACAGCCCTGAATCCTACAGTTCTCCTGAGCGGTGCAGCAATGCAACGATTTGAAACACACTTTAATGTCCGTCATGCAGGATCTCGTGGCGCTGACTGTGACCTCAAACACATCGTCACCGCCTCAAGGGACTTGAATTTTGCAATAGCAGTCTTATTCGGAGATAGAGAGGACCATCTCATAAATGGCTCTGGTGGACCTGCGAAATTGTTCACATTCAATGCGCGCGATGATTTCGTCTTCTATGGTCTAGTGACGGTGATCGTCGCTGCGGTCAGAACTTTGAATAATGGGAATCTTCTCTAAGCGAAAATCGCTCGGTACAACAAAGCAAGTGAATGCTCACCAGCATGTTCATGTTCCCTAATAGATACTCAATGGCATGTGCATGTGTACAAATCAACCGTGGGCTAAGCGACTGGGGGATTGCGTAAATAAGGAGCACGGAACCGGTGTATAATGATGCCTTGGAGCGAGCTTCATGTCTGGACTTGTAGATTCGTGGGGTAGAGCCCGGCGGGCAGGGTAGAAGTAAAAGGGGGGGTGATCGACAGCTAGCTCTATGCTGATAGGCCACACGACCTTAGAGAGAACGAGAAAAGAAATAGAGGTTCATAAACTGGTTCTTAGATAGGAGATCATAGTCTGGTAAAAAGGCTATGTAGGATACCTAAAGGTACTTCCGCAGGCACTAGCCCCCCAAGCCCTAGGGCTAGCCACCTACTATTTCGTAGGCTTCTTAGTCTTGCAACTCACTAATGCAATGGATGTCGCTTGGTTGGATAGCCCTTGACTCGTGTGGAAAAAGGCTGAACAATGTTGGTCTCAATCTCTCCTTGGAAGCAGCTCAACCCTCGAACGGCGACAAGCAAAGTTTGTTAGCCGTAAAAAATGTTGCTTTGAATTGATTTTTCAGCAGCTCCGCAGCCCAAAGCCTCTGATCTTCGTGTGTCATCGCGGCTATACAACCTTTTATGCTCCGCCTTCCTCAGCCTGCACTCAACACACTGTCGAGTATTGACCCCCTGCAAGCCCTCACTCCACTCAATTTGACGTTGAAGTTTGTCTCATGGTATCCAAATCCCGGATGCTCCGTCATATATTGAGGCACATATGCTAAGGCTGTAATCACCTGCTCGTTCTACCACCCCACCATTAACATCAGATGAGGTACGAATGCAATGAGAAGACCTACCAGACACCCAATTCCCGTCTCAAACATATGCACACGCAGATTTGCAGTGGGTGACATGCTGTTAAAAGGCTGCATGTCATCCTCAGCAGGGAACATGGCGACGTGGAGCATGGCAGTGTAGAAAGTAAGAAATACATCGTTACGGCGGAGTTGCGCGGCGCCGGCGACCCTATCGAAGTCGATGGTGAGTCTGGGCGAGAGAAGAGCGTTCGGGGGTAAAAGAGTGGGCGATGTAGACGTAATACTGAGAGTTGCGTTCCATGTCTTGGCTAAGTTGATAACAGAGACGTTATCGGCCGTATCGCTACCTGTGATATTCTGCACTGGCGAGGTGTCTAGTCTTTCCACGAAAGCTTGAGTAGACTTCCTGCCGGTGTTGGCCAGTCTCAGCTCTTCGCTATCATTGATAACACTTCGAGTACCATTCCTGGTGGTGTCAAGTGAACTGATCCCCGGCTTCACCATAAGATTAATCTGGCCCACAATGCTGTTATCCCAGTAGAGCTTTACCATCGCATTGTGAAATCTACTAAACCGGATCATATCTGTGGCAGCAGTATAGATACCCCAAAGCAAAAAGCGAGCTTCCATCCACTCATAAGTCTTGATCTGGACTTGCCCATAAATGGGGGCACTATATGTGCGCGGTTGAAGGTACTCGTCAAAATCGCCTCGTCCCACTATGCTCATGAAATAAAGCACGTTTATGAGGGTGGCGTTGATCGGAAGGAAGGGAGCGTCGAAGCTCAGTTCCGCTCTGAATCGGCTGTTTGGCAAGTCGGATTCTAGCAGAAGCGTGGGCGATGGAACAGAAATCGAAACTGTTCTAGCTGCGCTGAGCAGAAGTGGTAATGCCAGCTTCATGTTCTCTTCTGGCGATTATGGTTGGACCAGCGTTGTTGAAACTATACATGGATTTTTCGAAATGGTGAAGCTTGGGAAATGAGAGTGGTTTGAGGATGTTAATGGTTTTTCCTAGAAACCATGCGTAATCGTAGTCATGGCTTAACCCGCCCCCTGGCATTCGCGCTCCTCACGCTCGCCGGTGATATCTTAGGCGGCTTCCGACGGGGCGATACGCGATGTGCCATAAGGCTACAGAGAACGGCTTTAAATGGTGGATCGCTTTGGAGACTCTGGTGGATCTTGTTCGCTGTGAGCGCTCTACCGCCGCTGACCGTAGAGAAACACAACAAAGAAGGCGCAGATCAATGTTGTGCACAAATCAAAGAAGAGGAAGGAGTGCAGAAGAGGCGCTCGATAGCTTGCGAACTGGTAAGATGATGGTGATGTGCTGATGATGTTTACAAGTTTGAGACGGTACACAATGGTTTAGATTGACAAGAATAACAAATGAGCAGAGGAGTTGATACAGTGGAGAGGTTCGCTCCAATTCTTCCAGTCCTGCTTGAAGATTTCTTCGCTAAGTTTCGTCGAGCCCAAATCGTCTCAAGTCTTGACTAGTGAACGTTCAAGCGGCGCAACCTTCGCCAATCAAGAAATACCTTCTCGACCCCAGGCTGGGCCTCCCATACGCTGTTACAAAACAAGTCTTGATTCAAGCTGTACAACAAGAAAGAAGAGCCGCTTTTGCAGCCAAAGCAATGGGGAAATAATCCCCAAAGATTAGCGCAGTGTCGCTGTGTACCCAGTTCTAATGTGGAATTGAAAGACTTGAGATTACTATTCCTCCTTTGTAAACGCATCGTGCGTAAAGAAAGTTTTTGCATGCACGAATCGGTCACCGAAGACTATTTTGCGAAGAGAGAGGTAGTTCTTTGCCAACCTTGTCTTGCATCATTGCAGGGTTGATCCAAGCACGCGGGTGACAGAAAAACCTGCACACCTTGAAATTAGGAATTTGATGATGATTTCACAACGAAGAACCTAGCAGAAAAGTTATGCGTTGTAATTTAAGGATTTCGATAATACTAATATATTATTCCGCAAAGCCTAATTCATAAGGAGGATATTCGTTGAGTTATTCCAGCTGACAAGGTGAAGGGATTTCTTGGTGTGTGCAGGCTTTTGCGTCACCCGCGTGCCAAGGTTGGGGTTGATAGATACTATTGTCCTACTGAATCGTTCCGACAGACTCAAGATCAGGATCGTCACAGAGCGAGAATGGCAAAATGGAATTAAGACTAGACTTGTCTCGAATGGCGATACTGCGTAGAAGAAAACACGTTATGATTGAAGGTATCAGGGCGAATTACCGAATCATACCCCAAAACAATAAATCCCGACAGAATCATAACCCCAATTATTGAATCATACCTATACACCAAAAGCCACCAAAAGTGGGGTATGATTCGATAGTTTGCCATCTCTTGGGGTATGATATGGGACGATGCTAAAGTTGCTATAGTGGCCCACTTGAGTGGCTCACTTGTAGATGTAGCTAG